CCCCCCCCAGCCCAGTGTTGGGTACAGCCTGCGGGACCCTGGTTGGGGCTCAGCTGGAGGGTCAGCCATGTCCTGCTATGGGGGTCAGGCACCAGGCTTTCTCACTGGGAACTGGCTGCTGGCCTGGGAGTGGGCACAGGAGGCAAGCACAGGGCTGGGCCTCACCTCGGGAGTGGGCAGCTCTTCTGGCTTTGGTGCTCTGGTCCCCTTGGTGCCATTGCTTTGTCCCCAAGGTTCAGACTGAGCAAGTGGCTCTGCTCCCTGGGGTGGCTCAGGACTGGGAATGTGGGCAGTTTTGGGGCTGAGGGACCCTGGTCGGCCCATGGGCTTGGGGGCATCCCGGCCCCGGCCCCACTCCGAGAGGTCCAGAGGCTTGTCTGGCACATGGTCCCTTGTGTCTGTGGCCTCCTTCCCCCGGGGGCTGCCTGGGCCTGTGGGCCATTGGTGCTGCCTCCTGGGCATGGCTGCCATGGCCACCACACCCTCTGGCCCCTCAGAGTTGGAGCCAACTGGAGGGGAAGGCAGCGTCTTCCCCGGCCTGGGGGAGGCCCTCAACCTGGCACCACTGGACTGTCCCCGTGCTCGCAGCTGCTGGGCCAGGAGCAGGCTCAGCGCCCCCTCCAACTGTGGGTCCCGTATGTCCACCATGGTGCTTGGCAGGCCCAGCAGGCCCAAGGGCTCCTCCCAGGCCTCTGCCTCTCCGGCCTTCAGGCCCTGGGGTGGGGGGCCACTGGGGACTGTGGCAGGGGCCCTGGGGCTGCCGTTGGGGCTCCGAAGGTGCAGGGACAGATGGTGGTTCAGGAGACAGAGGCTGTCCACCTGGAGGGAGTGCTTCAGGGACTCGTAGGCGATGGCAGAAGGTTTGGGGGCCCTCAGGAGGCTGGGGGTGGGGAGAAACCCATGTCAGCCCCCATTTCACAGATGAGGACCCAGGGCCAGAGAGGTGAGGAGAGCTGCCCAGGTCAGAGGGCGGACAGGGGAGAGGGTGGGTTCCTACCCCCCACCCTCTGTGCTCTGGAAGCCAAGCCATGTGACCTGGAGCCTGCGGCTCTGAGGTCTCCTCCTCCTGGGCATCAGTTATCTGCCCTCACCAGGACCACCTGGCCTCATCTCCTCCCTCTATGTCATCCGCCCCATCTGGCTGTTCAAGAGGTGCCCCCACGGGAACTTTGTGAAGGACAGGGTACTCGGAAAGCAAAGCCTAGGAAGGGCAGGAGCCCCTGGAGGGTCAGCAAGGGGCTCCTGGGCTGTTGACCCCTTCTCAAAAGGTGGGACTGGATTAGTACAGGTGCTCAGTGGAGGCCGCTCCTGGTGGTGGCTGTGGGCACGACCTCACCTGTCCAGGGGGAGGCTGTGCTCACAAGGTGGGCTGGGTGGGCTGCTTCTGGTGGGGGGCGTCCCATTGGTGGAGGCCCGCTCAGCCGAGCAGGCCCGGGCCCCCGGCCGCACCACGGCGATGGTCCCATGCAGCTGGTTGGAGATACGCTGAGGGCTCTGCACGGGGTGGAGGGTGGTCAGTCAGCCCGAGTGGGGCCAGCTGTTACCCTTGCTTTCTGTGTGACCTTGGGCAGGTCACCCACCTGCTCTGAGCCTTGCCTCCACCCACGTCAGGTGGAGCTCAGGTGTCCCTGTCTGTCCCAGAAGACAACACATGGCAGATGGGGCTGGGGCTGGGGCTGGGAGGGGTAGCCTTGGGGTCCCTTGCCCTCACCATGTCTGGGGCCCGTGGCTCGGGCAAGTTGGCACCTGGGGAGGTTTTGTTCACTGGAGACTTCCTGTACCCCAGCTGTTCTGTGGGAGGAAATGCAGTGGGCAGGACAGGTTAGGAAGTGGCTCAGCCCCTGGGCAGAGGGCTCCTCTGTCCTGTGATGCCCAGCCTCCTGGCATCTGCCGCCCTCACAGCACCTTCTCCCCGTGGACCTGCACCTGTGTGATGGTCCTCGGCCTCCTCGTGACCTCCCAGGAGCTTCTCGGTGATGGCTTTCCGGGTGCCCGGGGAGGTGAGCAGTGGGGGCGAGGTGGGGTCCGAGGCACCCTCCCTGCACTGGGGCTTGGGCCTGTCTCCCGAGGAGAGGGGGATAGGGAGGGCAGTGCCCCCCAGAGCCAATCAGAAAGGCCAGGGAGCCTCCTGGGGGCCAAGCCACCACTGCAGGAGGACCCAGGTGACCTGGAAAGAGTGACTTTGACACCACCCGACATGCCATCACCAGGCTTCTACTGCAGGGCTGAGCAGCCCTCACTGCTCCTTTCAAATAGTGTCCCTGGCAGAGCCCCAAGTGTCAGAGCTGCTGTGGGTGCTGGGGACCCAGCCCTGTTCCTAGGGGTCCATTGGGGTCCTGTTTACAGGACACCTGTGTTCGTTCCCCTGCGGTCAGGAACTGACTCTGCAGCTCCGCCCCCGGTGCCTGCTGAGTGGGGTCTGAGGGCTGGGTGTTCGGGCCAGGGCTTCCCCTGCTCACCCTGGGCCCCGGAGTCGAGTGACCTCCTCCCTCAGCGTCTCATTTTCCTCCTGCAGCCGGCTCATCTCATTGGCTGCAAAAGACACTGATTATTGGAGGACTGGGGGAGGGGGCAGGGCAGAGGGGGCCTCGCAGCCCCGGGAAGTCTCCCTCCTTGTCCTGTCCCCAGGCCAGGGCCTGGCATGGAGCAGGTGCCCCATAAGTGCTTGCTGCCTGAGGGATGGTCGGATGTGACTGAGGCTGTGGAAAGTGATGGGAACCCTTCTTCCAGGAGCTTGTCCCTGGGACACCCCTAAGGAAAAGGGGGCCTGTCCTCGTGTGGGGACTCAGGGACCTCTCCTCATTGCAGGGAGGAGAGAGTTGAGACCCTGAGAGGTCAGGGATGCCCCATCCCAGGGGACTGATGAATGAGGGACATGCTTGGGCCAACTGGGGGCTTTGTATCATTTGTTTGTGAATTGGGGCATGGGGTGACCGTCTGACAGAAGGCTCGCCTTCTCTCCTTTCCCTGTGACCTCATGGGAGGCTGAGCAGCCCCGGGGTCACAGCCCACAGGAGGGACAGCAGCTCAGGGCTCACTGAGGATGAAGAGCTGCTGCAGGTTCTGGAGGAGGGAGGTCTCGAACTCCTGCTGCTTCTTCCTGGCCAGCTCCTGGGTCACGGTGCAGCGGTCACACAGGCCGGCCCGCAGCCTGAGGGCCGGGGAGGCAAGAGGCTGCTAGAGGAGGGAGACTGAGGCCCCAGAGGAGTGGGGCCCTCCCAGGATGTGCCCCTGCCTTTCCTAAGCTGCAGATGCCCCGCCCTGTCTCCTCCCATGGAGTTTGGGAAGGAACCTTGAAAATACAGTTTACTTAAGGCTCTGAGAAGTCCTGTGGGGGGTGTCAGGTTTAGTTTACTGGCAAGCCTTCCCAAACTCGCTCCCCAGGCCCTTTGCCCTTGTCCCCTCTCCCCTGCCCTGCCCCCTCCCATCATAAGCATGGCTGGCAGGTGGTGGTGTCCTGGGCTCACCTGTTCTCCAGCACCCGGACGTTGTCTTTCAGAGCCTTCTGCTGCTCCCGGAGCTGGTGGTTCTTGGCACAGAGCTCCTCCACCCTCTGGGCATCCCTGTGGGGGAACAAACGGAGGTAGGGTTTCTGCTCTGCGCAGGGAGGCCCAAGCTGCCCCCAGCCGGCCTCTCCCATGGCCTATGCTGGTCCTGCTGGGTGCACCCCTGTGGGGACTCCCTTGTGTGGGCCGTGCTTACCCCAGCATGCCCAAAGTGAGCACTTAGGCGACCTTGGTGACTTGTCTTGTCCATGTGCCACTTACAGTGCTACAGAGCTAAGCCCTATCGGGGACATGGGGAGCCCCCTCCCCTCAGGTCCTGATGTCTCACAACCTATGTTCCTATTGATAATTATTCACAGCGCAGGTACCTTAAGTGGATGTGGCTTCCTAGCCCCGTGGAGGGTCCCCGTTCACGTGGTGGCCTTGGGGCTTCCAGTGCTGGCTCACCAGCTACTGGAGGCATGATGTGGGCCAGTGACTCCCTCTCCCCCGCCCACACTGAACCTCAGTTTCCCCTTGTACATCCCCCAGCATTTGGGAGGAAGTGAGTGACCGGCGAGCCCCTGTCCTTCACATCCATTCCCACTGTGCCAGGCCGCCCTGACTCACCGGCACCTCTCCGAGTTCAGTTCTAGAAGCTTGTTCTGCAGGCCTGGAGGGTTGAGGAGGGGTGGAGGGTCAGGCCTGGCCCTGTGGCCACCCCCTACAGCAGAGCCCAGGACACCTCCTGTCCCTCTCTGTACCTCCACCCCTGCCCAGGCCCCCTCACTGACTCCCAGTCTCAGGACTGCCTGCGACCCCTGGTTTGGGCCCATCATCTCCCCTCCTCTGGGCACCCTGGCTCTGGTGTCTGTCTGGAGGTTGGTTGGGACCTCAAAGCTGGGAGTAACAAACCACCTGGCCAGGTACTGGAAGGGGCGGTTTTTTGGGGGGATGCAGCTAGTATTGAAATAAAATGGGCTCTTGGGGGAGCCTCTGGCAGACTCCTCCATGCTACCTCGTTGCGGTCCAGTCCAAGCAGACCCTGCCTCTCTAGGTCTCTGGGGAGGTGACCCATGCCCTTCGGACCCTCAGGTCCGTGGGTGCTTGTGGAATGGTTGGTCTTGGGAGGATCTGGCCCAGGCACTGGAGCTCGGGGAGTGGAGGGACGTGGCTGGGTGGGGCAGAGCTCAGCCTGGTGTCCTGGAGGGAAACAGAGGATTTCAGATCAATGCCCTGGCACACTCTGGATGGGCCTCTGGACCCATGAGCTCCCATTCCTAGAAGTGGGAGGCCTCATTTCTGGGGATACTGAGATCTCTGCCATGGGTGAGGGAGGTCCTTGGCTCTCTGCAGTCGGCCTGTCATTTTCTTTCCATTCTGATGTGGGTGGACCCTTTGGGAGAATGCCTGCTGGACACACTTGGGGTGCTGATCTGAGGCTGGGCACCTGGCCACACTGATGCTCTGGTCATACTACCTTCTCGGCCTGCAAGGTGAGGTCCTAGGTGTGGAGGTGACATGCAGCAGCACCCTGGCCTGGCCTGGCCTTGGCCCTTAGACAATTTGTCCAGGTGAGAACCACCTATGGAGACCAGCCCCCCTACACCTGCCCTCCCCCCCGGCACTCACCCAGGACCTCTTTCTCATGGATGTCCTTCAGCCTGTTTAGGGACTCCATGAAGGTCTCCATGGCCCCCACAGCCTGGCTCAGGTTCCTCTGTGCTGGGGTACAGGATGGCCCCTCGACCCTACTGCCTCTCTGTTTCCAGCCTGTGGAGCAGGAAGTGGAGAAAGGGACTTGTTGGCTTGGGAAGGGCCTGTGCGCGGCAGGGTCCAGTCACGGGCCACTGCCTGGAGAGGGGGTAAGCACTGGCCCCGTGGATGTTGGTGAGGGTGTCCTGCCTGTGGGCCACCCCACACTGAGGACCCACTGTCTACACTGTCCTGCTCTCAACGTGCATCCTGAGGGGAGCTTGGAGGAGACAGGAGGGATGGGGCCTATCCACTAATCTCCACTACCTAATCCCGGCCTTACCTCAAAGCAGGTCCCCCTCCTCCCCTCTTCCTCCTCCCTGTGCCACATTGGCCTCAGGCCTGGGAGGCTGGGACACAGGTCAGGAGCTGTGGCTGGGCATGGCCTGCAGTTGCTTGAGGTGCCCATTACATGCTCTGTGAATCCATTAGCTGGTTGCAACATGCAGATCCCTCTGGGGAAATCTCTCAGTTCCTTCTACAAAGGGTCGGGGGCACTGCCAGCTGCTGAGATGCCCATGGCCTCTGAGGTTCAGACCTCTGTGCCAGGCTCCTGCTCACTCAGTCTGGCTGTGCTCTGTCCTGGCTGGGCAGTGTGCTGTGTGCATGTGTGTGCATGCGGCGTGTGTGTGCGTGTGCTGTGTGTGTGCGCATGCCAGGGGTGCTGAGGCCCAGGGCTCCCTGTGCCCACCTCCAGTCTGACTGGTTGTGGATGCTAATTTTGACCCCAGGTCCACATTTACTGAGGCTGAGCCAAGCCCCCTGCATCCCAGGGATGGGGTGTGCGGCCAGTTCCTTGATGCCCTGAGTCTCACAAAGAGTAGAGCGGGTCCGGTCCTGCCTGCCTGGCCCAGAGCCCACCCTCTTCCCTTCTGGGTCGCTCCTCCAGGCACGGGGAGGTGGCCCCTCCTGGTCCTCAGTCTGAGGAGCCCTAGGGGGCAATTGGACTCCACAAACAGATGACCAGGCTCTTGTAACTCCAGAATCCTCTCCTCCTGGTCTCCCACACTGACCCCTCAGCAGCAACTGTTGACTGGGCATGAAACTGTGGTGCATTGCCCGGGCCACTTTGCACAGCGCAATGCAGGCCCTTGAAACCTCTGCTCCAAATCCTCCCTCGACCCATCACAAGGCCGTGCCTGACCCCTGCTGTCACACGAGGCCGCGCCTGACTTCTCCCCATGGCCACAGAAGGGGGCACTGTCTCATCTGTATTTCAAAGCGTGAGTTTGCAGCAGCACCCTACAAAACAGCCCCAAGCTGGAAATCCCCTAATGCTAGCTGCCGAATGTCCATGGCTGGAAGAATGCCCCCAACCCCCACTGCCATCGCCATGTGACACTGAAGGGGAAGCAGACTCTAAAGCCAACCTGCTGTGCACACTGGTGCAGGGAGCACAGCTGCTCTGGGCTCTCAGAAGTAGGGGTGGCCGGTGTCATGAGGTGGGGCTGGGGGCCTATCTGACTGAGTGGAGCAGGCCTTGTGACCCCAAGGGAAGCCAGGGGTAATGAGCCCAGGGCTGGGGCTGCCTGCTGGGAAATAGACCCTGAGTCTGGCTCTCAACTAGGCCCTTGAACTTGGCTCAAATGTCAGAGTACCCAGGAGCCTGGACTTCTGGACTCAAGACTGTACCCGGCTGGAGGACAGGGTGAGATCCTGTACCCTGCGGAGTCCAAGGAGCAGGCTGGGCAGGGCACTGGGGCGTGGTGGAGGGTGGAGTGGCAGGAAGGTGGGGCTCCCCAAACTCGTTTACCAGACCTACCCTGAGTGCTGGTGGGGAAGTAGGGGAGCCTGTGTCAGGTGATAAGGGCTCTGGGAATGAGGGGGGCTTGGGAGGGTCTCCATGTTGAGGGAGAAGATGCTGAGTTTCAGAGGCTGGGGGAAGCCGGGGCTTGAGCGGACAGAATGTAAATCGTAACTGGCCTATTTCCTGAGTGCTGTGCACATCACTATCACAACAGCTCGTTCGGCCCACACCACACCGTAAGGAGCCCACTCTCCAGATGGGGCATCTGGTGTCCAAAAAGATAATGTCACCCTCCCTGGCTACGCAGTGGAGGTGGGAGCCAGGGTTTGAACGTTCTCTGAGGGCTGCGGATGCTGCACCCTCGCCCGTGTGGACCAGGGACATGTCCTGGTAGTCCCACTGTGCTCACTGCGCTGACCTTGATCTCATGGTGGGGCCCCTGGAAGGGAAGACTTTGAACTGAGGCCTCCATGGGTTCAAGTCTCTGGCAGGCAGGTGAGGAGGGCTGGGCAAGGGCTGAGCCACAGCGCCTGAAATTCTACCCAGACCCGCCCAACAGGCAGGCGGCTCTTCCCTCCAGCGCCTGCAGTGGCCGTGGACTGTGGGCTGGGCGAATGCCCATAAAGGAGGAGCCTGAGGGAGCCCATGGTGCCCTGGGCCCAGGAGAGGCCTGTGTGGACTTTGGGTCTGAGCATTGTTCCCGATGATGTCACCGTGGTGCCCTCTGCTGGTCCCACTCCACACCCCGCCAGGCTCCTCTTTGTGCCCCAAACTGCCCTGCCAGCCCTCCTGGCTGCTCCTCTCACAGTCCCTGAAGGCCAGTAGGGGACACCCCTGCGTGCTGGCCAGGGGGAGCAGCACAGACAAGGGTCCTGGGGCAGGGCTGTGCAGGCTGACAGCAAAGCTGGAGTCTCCTGTTTCCCACAGAGGCCAAGGGCCACGCAGCTCATGGCAGCGGTGCCATGGGGACAGTGTGACTTTCCCAGGAGGGTAGGTTACAGAAACGCATTTGGCTGAGGCAAAGTGGATAGGCAGTCTCCAGGGGCACTGTCGGTAGAATGACCCAGGATTGTAGCCTCCTGCTGGGAGGTCAGTGGGCTCCCGAGCAGGTCAGCTCTGTGTTTGTCAGGAGTGCCCAGGGGAGCTGGGGGCTGGGGGTTCACCTCACCCTCAGGGAACTCTGAGGGTGAGGTGGGCCCTTCCCCAGGCCTGGGAGCCTGTACACAGGAGAGGGTAACCTGAGTTGCCTGTGGGGGTGGGAAACAAAGACCTGAGTTGTGTTCCTTAGGACCCCCAGACAGGCCCAGGAGTTCCCCAGCCCTCCACCTCTGGACGCCAGGCTGGAAGGCCTCTGCTGGGGCTGGGCCCCTGGAAGGAGCGGGTGGGAAAGAAAGGCAGGTGGATCAGCCACGCTGATGCCCCTGCCTGCCCGCCACTCACCCTGAGCAGAGTCAGCCTGGCCAGAGTGCTAAAGACATGGGGTCTAAGCCACAAACTTACAGCCTTGGTGGGGGCCCCCATCCTAACTTTACCTTCTGTGCAAACGTGGCCAAGTGGTTTACCTCTCAGAGCCTCAGTTTCCTCATCTGGGGGGTAACACCACCCTCCATATCAGGGTGTTGTGAGGCCCTTACCCAGTAACTTGTGTCCAAGTGACGCCTGTCCAGGTTCTGTATGTCCAGGTGACACCTGTCCAGGTGAGACATACTCAGCCCAGTGCCTGGCAGGCCAAGTGCTCGGTTTACTGCAGATGGAGACCCTGTGTCCCCTACCTGCAGTCCCCCACTAACACTTCCCTCACAGGAGACCTCCAGGGCCTGTCAGTTCTGTTTATAGGAGCTCTTCCTCTCTTGGGCTAGTTCAGGTCCCATTGCCACAAACACCGTTTGCAGGAGGACGTCCCCCCCC